ATAGATCTTTTTCAAAACATAACTGCTTTTATAACATTACATAGACCCATTAAACACAAAAACTGCTATGGCTACAGGGGCTTCGCCCCCCCCCCCCACCTACCCCACAGGGGCACTTAGGCAGTCCCCTGGCCCCCACGCCCAGAGAATCCCCCCTTGAAATGACCTGGCTACGGGCCTGATGTCCACACCAAGAAAATACAAAGTATGCAAACAATGTCACTTTTATTAAGGTGACGTAAAGTCCGAAATCAAGGGATAGCTTATTTTCTGTCATGTACATACTGTACCATAAACACGACTATGATATCAATTATATGGTAGCACTATTACGATATGTATCCATCTTTATGTGTTTAATGGAGTGATAGGTTTGTACTCTAGAGCTGTAGCTTAGTGTTAAGGTGCTCACCTTCCAATCCCATGGTCCTGGCTTTGAATCCTTTCTGTACCGAGATGTTTCTTGCTTGGGTCAGCGTGGTCAGGCGTTGCTCAAGATGTCCCGAAAAATATGACAATTTAGGGGATTCAGAAGCTTATGTATTAGATTTTATAGATAGTCTACCAATATTATTATGTAGAAAATTATATATACAGTGAAACAAATTATATTGTTTAGAATAATAATACAGTATTTATTTAGGCGCACATATCTTGGGATATTTATTTATTATATAATATTGATCCAGAGAATGTATGTTTAAACCCTGTGGCTTTCTGTAATTTTCAACTGACCAATTTGATTGAATTTTAATCGTTTCTGGACATCAGTTAATAATACAGTTCAATTATTTGATATTCAGAGACTGATGCCATAGGTAAAAGAAGACAGTGTACAAGAGGTAAGCATTGTGGTTTCTCTGTAAGCTTAATTTATGAAGTAATTTAAATTATGAATGGACCACTTTAGTATAATCTTAATTTGGTGAACCAAATGTGGATATAAAATATTTACTTTCAAAACAAGCTTCTTTACGACGAATAATAAAGACGGGAGAGTCATGATAAAGGTTAGTGGTGGAAAGAGTAAAGTCAAGTAACAATCATATGAATCTATGTAATATGGTGAAAACTTTATATATTATAACGTAGCCATCAGTTTCGATAATTTATTTGTTACAACACGTTCCAAAAAACCCACAATGAAAACTGTAAAGGCACTTTGTGAGAGCTGTTTAAACAATGGTGTTTATTTTTGTTTAACCAGTAAAAAATGACAAAACCAAATGATGAATACAGGTGTGGTTTCATTTGTTTTAACACTTGCCTGCACATTTCCAATTATATCTTTTTAATAATAAAATGGATAATAAATTTTGATGATTTATATTTCTTAATTATTTTTTCCCCTTCTGTTTTGTGAAAAGCTTCTAGACCCTATACCAGATGCTCTAAGCAAAACACAACAATTGTTGTTAAATACTCCAGGAAATGGATTGATGGTGACTGTCTTCCAAGTAAGTTTACTATAATTTTAAGTATTTTTTAATGTATTTTTTGTTGTTTGAAACTTATGGATAATTCTATCAAAACTAATTTTTTAGTTTGTTGTCCATGTGACCTAAATTTTGGTAAGTAGAAATGCTGCTAATATCCCATTAATAGAAATTGTCAACACCACATTTAACAGGTTTTTAATAAAGAAGTCGTGCTACATACATACTAAATCTCAGTCAATAATTTAAAGTGGTTTTATCTTTGTTGGCTCCTCCGTAATTTATTCTCAATTATTAATGTAAAATACGTGGACTACATTCTAAAAAGTTAAAATATAAATATCGTATGTATTCCAATCTTGAATAAACACCCCAGGGCATTTATATTTCCTCGAATACACCCCTCCAATGGTTGTAAAAAAAATCTAATAAAGCCATATCATTCTCAACACAATCTTAATGTTCTAATCCAGTATATAATTATATTATTTAACACCTGGACAGGATAAATATATTTTATGATCACACAATAATACTTTTTAACAGTAATTATGTGTTCTACATTAGTTGCACATTTACAGTGAAATTATGAGTTTAGTATACATATCCACGCTTCCTTTGAATATATGCCTCCCTCAAATTAATACCCACAAAACCCTTTCTCAACAATAAAAGCCATGGACCGTTTATTCAAATAGATATGTTATGCTTCTTTT